ACTGCTGGAGTCTAGCTTGTAGGATTTTAAGCATAACTTTACTAGCATGTGAAATGAGTGCAATGGTGCGATAGTTTGAACATTCTTTGGCATTGCCTTTCTTTGGAATTGGAATGTAAACTGACCTTTTCCAATCCTGTGGCCACTGTTGAGTTTTCCAAATTTGCTGGCAAATTGAGTATAGCACTTTTACTGCATCGTCTTTTAAGATTTTGAATAGCTCAGCTGGAATACTGTCACCTCCACTAGCTTTGTTGTTGCTCAGATTTTCTAAGGCCCATTTCACTTCACATTCTAGGATGTCTGGTTCGAGGTCAGTGACCATCTCATTGTGGTTATCTGGGACGTTAAGCTCATTCTTGTATAGTTCTTCTGTGTAGTTTTGCCATCTCTTCTTAATCTCTTCTGCCTCTGTTAGGTCCCTGCCATTTTGGTCCTTTATCATGCCCATCTTTGCATGAAATGTTCCCTTCATATCTCCAATTTTCTTGAAGAGATCTCTGGTCCTCCCTATTCTGTTGTTTTTTTCTATTTCTTTGCACTGTTCATTTAAGAAGGCATTCTTATCTCTTCTAGCTACTCTCTGGAATTCTGCATTCAATTGGGTGTATCTTTCTCTTTCTCCTTTGCCTTTCGCTTCCCTTCTTTCCTCAGCTATTTGCAAAGCTTCCTCAGACAGCCATTTTGCTTTCTTGCATTTCTTTTTCTTTGGGATGGTTTTAGTTGCTACCTCTTGTACAATGTTGCGAACTTCCATCCATAGTTCTTCAGGCACTCTGTCTATCAGATCTAATTCCTTAAATCTATTTGTCACCTCTACTGTATATTCATCAGGAATATGATTTAGTTCATACCTGAGTGGCCTAGTGCTTTTCCCTACTTTTTTCAATTTAAGCCTAAATTTTGCAACGAGAAGCTCATGATCTGAGCCACAGTCAGCTCCTGGTCTTGTTTTTACTGACTGTATAGAGCTTCTCCATCTTTGGCTGCAGAGCACATAGTCAATCTGATTTCTATGTTGACCGTCTGGTGATGTCCATGTGTAGAGCCATCTCTTGGGTTGTTGGAAAAGAGTGTTTGTTATGACCATGGTATTCTCTTGACAAAATTCTATCAGCCTGTGCCCTGCTTCATTTTGTACTCCAAGGCCAAACTTGCCTGTTATTCCGGTTATCTTTTGGCTTCCTACCTTAGCATTCCAATCCCCCATGATGATAAGGACATCATTTTTTTGGTGTTAATTCTATAAGGTGCTGTAGGGCTTCATAGAACCGGTCAATTTCATCCTCTTCAGCACCAGTGGTTGGGGCATAGATTTGGATTATTGTAATATTGAATGGTTTGCCTTGGATTCGAATTGAGATCATTCTGTCATTTTGGGGATTGTATCCCAGTATTGCTTTTCCTATTCTTTTATTGACTATGAAGGCTACTCCATTTCTTCTGAGGGATTCTTGCCCACAGTAGTATACCTGATGGTCATCTGAGTTAAATTCACCCATTCCTGTCCATTTTAGTTCACTGATTCCTAAGATGTCGATGTTCAGTCTTGTCATCTCTTTTTTGACTACGTCTAGCTTGCCTTGATTCATGGATCTTACATTCCAGGTTCCTATGGAGAAAAAATCTTTACAGCATCGGACTTTCCTTTCACCACCAGATATATCCACAGCTGAGCGTCCTTTCGGCTTTGGCCCAGTCGCTTCATTCTTTCTGGCGCTACTATTACTAGCCCTCTGCTCTTCCCCAGTAGCATATTGGACACCTTCCGACCTGAGGGGCTCAACTTTTTACTTTTATTTAATAATAAAAAATAGCCATTTCTATAACAACAAACCTATCGGTAAAACCCAAAATTAAAGTTTCATTTTTTTCCACCTCAGACAGAAAGTCCAGAAGCAGTTTCCTAGTAGAAACAAAAAAAATGTGTTTTTTTTTTAATCAAAGCAGTTAATTTAGCCATCTCTGCAAACTCCATCAACTTTTACAGACATTCATCAGTTATGGGAATCAACCTGTCCTTTCATTTTTGTGCATAAAATAATCTTGTTACCATTAACATATATAAAATCAAAGTTCCATTTTTCCCCAAGTCTGTTTCCATTAAACCCAAATGAATAGTTTCTGGTTTTATAATTATATTCAGTTTGAGAATCTTCAGTATTAAGTTGTGAATCCTACTGCAATATTTATTTGCGTTATTACATGTCTACCATAAATGATAAAAAGTCTCTTTTTTTACATTTGCAGACTTTTTACGAATAAATTATAATAAGATTATTAACAGAGGGCCTTGAACTTTAATTTTGCAGTTGTTTAACCTGTTAACTATTTTTTCTCTACATATATATATAATATATGACAGGACAAATGGGTTGAGAATAGAATAGAATAGAATAGAATAGAATAGAATAGAATAGAATAGAATAGAATAGAATAGAATAGAATAGAATAGAATAGAATAGAATAGAATAGAAAGTATCTATAATGCCTATATTTACATTTGTATTTTCATTTGTGGATATAATAATTTTATTTTTCTCTTGCGGCTCATGCCTTCCTGCCTCAGGAGGCCTTTAAACTGATTTGATAGCATGTTGCTATTTGTATCTGAAGAACATCTCAACAAGACAGGTCAGATGGGTACATGTAAAATATCTTGTGGCAGACAGAGGCATTTGTACATAGAATGAAGACATAGAAGATGTTTGTATTCATGGAGCTGCTGTTAATAGTATTGCCTCAAGTGATGTGCAAGGATCCTAGCTTCGGTGTGACTTTGAGGAGCCTCTTCCTATTCATCACACCTATCATCAGATTGGAGACATCAACATTGCTGGCATTATTTCTGTACTGTTTACATTTTCTGATCCTATTGATTTCAGTCAACATCCTTCTCAGGCACTTCATAATGGATCTGTGTAAGTACATCATCAATTTATTGTCAGACTCTAGACCATGCTGCTAAATCACACGATGCTTGAAATGTTCTCCTCTACTCACAAAGGCTCCTGAAAAACACATTTTAAATAAGATGCCTAGGTTTACATTATGGAAAGTGAAATTTCAGCATCCGCGTAAAGTTGAAAGAGAGGTCAAAAGTCTAAACATAACAAACATCTAAATATCTATAACCATAGAGGAAAGTATGACTTAATTTATGAGGATGTAACTATTACTAAGATTTGGTGAGAGGACATATTTCCACTGATGAATTTTTCGTTTCATATTTCTAGTATCAAAATACAGCAATTTCCTTCTGGATATAAGCCATTTTTAAAAGCTGCAGTTTGATACTGGGCCTTTCTCATTTATTAAGAAATAGTGATTCCAATTTCAAGCCAGTGTTTGTTTTGTAATATAAATAACTCCAGTTCCTGGAGGGGTATATATGTGCTAGCATTTTGCTTTGCATTTTCCAGCATCCGAGCTGAATAGTAAAGGTGAATGCATCACTAGAGGGAACAGGAGCAGGAAAATGTAGGTCCTAATCCTTATGTACAGGGCTTTAGTCAGACCCCATTTGGAATATTATATGTTTTGTATTTAAGGATTCCAGGTGCCAGGATATGAAGCAGACCTTTCTTCATGTGTTTTTTCACAGAATGCTTTTTCAGAGTTACCAGCATGTCCTGGCCTTAGCGTTTACTCTAAAAGAGATCAATGAAAATCAGCAGATCCTACCCAATATCACCCTGGGCTTCCATATTTTTAACAGCCATTTTAGTCCAAGCTGGACCTACTTTGGCTCAATGTTCCTGCCTTTCACTCAGGGCAAATTCATCCCTAACTACAAGTGTGGGGTCCCAAACCCTTTGGCTGCAGTCATTGGTGGACCTGATATCTCTCTTCACATGGCAACTGTATTGTGCATCTACAAAGTTCCTCAGGTAAGATGTGCTGAAGATTGAATTATTATATTGCCATACCTCCCCAGAGATCTGTAGGCTTCTTTCTCTAAAAACTTTCAAGATTCCTAGATATTATTTTTTGCTTGCTAGGATTACCATAACATTATGAGTAATTATAACTTTGAACAAACATTGAGGATATTGGGCATAGAAAAACATTCTCCAATGCCTGACATTAAATTAAGAGTTGGAAGGGACCTCAGAAGTCTTCTAGACCAGCTCCTGCTCAAGTAGGAAACTCTACATAATTCTGTACAAATGGCTGCCCAAACTCTTCTCAAAACCTCAAATGATGGGGAACCCATAACCTCTGGAGGCAAGCCGTTCAACTGATTGATTGTTCTAAGTTAGTTCTCTTTGATAGGTTTCCATCTAATTGCTTTTTGTCCTGGCTTCAGGTGCTTTGGAGAATAGGTTTCCATCTAATTGCTTTTTGTCCTGGCTTCAGGTGCTTTGGAGAATAGGTTGGCTTCCTCTTCTTTTATTCTTGTTAACCTCAGTATATAGAGCAGTGTTTCTCAACCTTGACAATTTTAAGGCATGTGGACTTCAACTCCCAGAATTGCTGGCTGTGGAATTCTGGGAGTTGAAGTCCACATGCCTTAAAATTGTCAAGGTTGAGAAACACTGATATAGAGGGACATCTTGGTTGATATTTCTAAATAAAGACAACTGCATAATGTTTCAGAATGTATAAGCTCAAGGGTATCCAGAGACTCAAATGAATGTACACATTTTCAGAAGTTCACTTAGACCTTCACAGTCACTTATGTTTGTCTTCCTGCAGTTGATCTATGGCTCTGCTCCAGCCATGGATAAAGAGACTCAAGCAGTTTTCTTCCAGCAAATGTTTCCAAGTGAATCCCACGAACATAACGGCCTAATAGAGCTATTGAAGTACTTAAGATGGATCTGGGTTGGAATTCTTGTAGTAAAGGATGAGAAAGCAGATAAATTTGTCCAGAAGGTGGTCCCCACCTTTTCAAAGTACGGCATCTGCACTGAGTTTGTAGAACAGTTACCAAATATAGATTTCTATAATGATTTTACTGGTATTATGGATGAAGGACAACATATAACCACATTCTCATGAACAGCACAGCCAATGTGATAATTGTATATGGTAAAATTCATACCATGACAGTTCTGAGAACTTTCCTTCAGTTTTCAGAAGTGGAGGATATACCAAGGAAGCCAAAGATCTGGCTTATAAATGCTCAGACAGATTACACTTCAATGTCCTTTCATAAATCATGTGACGTCCATTTCCTACAAGGTGCTTTATCCTTTGCAATTCACACAAAAGAAGTCCAAGACTTCCAAGAATTTCTTCACAATCTGAGTCCAAACAGTGATCATCATGATCATTTTCGGAAAGATTTCTGGGAACAGGCATTCGGTTGTGTCTTCCCTAATTCAACATCAGAGGTGTCTGAGACAACTTGTACTGGACAGGAGAGACTTGAGACCCTTCCTACATCTGTGTTTGAAACACGCATCAGTGGACAGAGTTACAATATTTACAATGCAGTCTACGCTGTGGCACATGCTTTGCAATCTCTGTATTTATCCAAATCCAGGGACGCAACAATAGTGAAAGCAGGAAGGAAAGAGTTTCACAATCAAGTGTGGTGGCAGGTAAGCCTGTAAGCAAAAAAACAACCATATCTGTAGGTGTATGGAGATTCTCAATCATCCAGGTCATGGTTGTCCCAAAGGTTATTTTTCAAGAGACAACTGGACTTTCTTCTTTTCCTTGAAGGCCTCCAAGTGGCCTCAATGACTTTCAGGAAGAGTGCCAATGACCAGATGACTGCACTCCCCACCATTCAATCAGACCTGAAGAAGCTTCTTGGATGAGAAACAAAACGTCTTCCAAGAAAAATAAAAAAGTCCAGTTGCCTTTTTTAAAAACACCTTTGGACAACTACATCTATAGTTGCAAACTCTAACAAACAATATTCTTAGGGGGATTGACGTTAAGTCTAAAAGTGAGATATAGTAACGGATTAACCAACTGAACTATTTATAAGCTTATGTTAACATTGCAAATTGAATTCTATAAAATTATAACCGTATCTCTTTGAATATGTTTCTATCAATGAAATTGACAAAATTGCCCAAAACTTTCTTGGTGTCACACAATGATTCTTCCAAGCTGCTTTCTTTACTGTTTTGTACCTATAGGCAAAATCTACCATACAATAAAACATAATGTAACTGGAAAATGTTTGTGTGTGTGTGTGTGAATAAGTGTATACACACATACACATAAACCTTTTCAACTACATTTTCTTTTATCTTGTTATTATCTTGCTTTCAGTCTTTTGGACTGTAACTACAATAATTCATATCTAACTTTAGCATGGCTGCAGCAAATATAAAGCTCTTTATAAGAATAGTATTAATTTTTATAGCCATATACTTGTATTTCCTAGTATTTCTTATATTTTTATCAGTAGTCATCTGGCTTAAGAGCCTTTAGCAATTAAACTACAATAGTTCTAAAAAAATATTGTTGGGGTTTTTTTACAATTATATTTTAATTTTATTTTAATAATCTGATATTTTACCTCTACCTCTATATTGGAATGATTGCTACAGTATGTTATCTGTTTAATACTGGCCTACAACTGAAGTTTTTTTTTTTAAAAAAGTGTTTATATTTTCTTTGTTTCAAGAAACATCCCTATGTATGTTTTGAATATATTAGGGTTTTCTCTTTCCTCTGTACTTTTCTCTCTTTGTTCCTCTCTGGCTGTCTCTATATTCCAGTTTCATTCTATTCTGAGAAATGTCAGATTCAATAACAGTGTTGGTGAGAAGATCTCCTTTGATGAAAATGGAGAACTCATTGGTGGGTATCATATTATCAACTGGATCTCATTCCCAAACCAATCCTTTGTTAGGGTCAAAATTGGGATGATAGATCCCACAGCTCCAGAAAACAAGTTCAATATTTCTGTAGATTCCATCAAGTGGCCAGTAGGTTTTAATCAGGTTAGTTCTTTCAATCTAGATTGGTCTCCCTTCCTTTAGGTAGAAAAAAAAAATATTGTTGAAAGTCTTGGAGCATCATCTCTGAACTAGCTTAAGTAAAAATGTTCCATGGACATAAGAATGATTACTTTTGTAATAGTTGATATAAAATATTGTACCCTTTACCTTGGCCCTCTGTTAATTATAGACAATAGTTTCATGGTTTTTAAGTAAAATCTACAGTCCAGTGTTCTAAATTTAATCAATCTGGTGACTTCAAAATTCAGAAGTTGAGAAAACTATTCTTATCTAACCAGCACAAAAATTATTTGTGGTGATGATGATTATAAAAGTCCATAAATGCCAATAAGGGTAGATATTTAATGAATTGTAATTTCAGACCAATTACATTTAAAATGATGTCATCACATTACTTCTGTACTGAATTACTTAGTACATAAACCCATTTTTATGCTAGTGATTCCACTGTAACAGTAGCTCTCCAAGCAATTCTTTTCCCCTCTGTATCTTAAAATATTCTTCTTCATTCATTGGTAGGCATTACCTCTATCTTTGTGTAATGGTCCTTGTGAGACAGGATACAGCAAGGAAAAGATAGAAGGGGAGTCGTTTTGCTGCTATGCTTGCCATCTGTGTCCAGAGGGGAAAATATCAAAAAAGAAGGGTAGGAAATTTCCAAATATAATGGGACTAAACCAGGAGGTACAACACTGTCTCTAATGCACTGTATCAATTCCACTGTGTTCTTTTTCAGATGTAGATGACTGTTCTCCATGTCCAGAAGATCAATATGCAAATCCTGACAAAAATATGTGCATTCCAAAGCACATCACCTTTTTGTCCTATGAAGAACCCTTGGGGATCAGTCTGACCGTTCTTTCTCTTTGTTTTTCTTTAATGACAACTTTGGTAATCACAATCTTCATGAAACACAAAGACACTCCCATTGTCAAAGCCAACAACCGGAATCTCACCTACATCCTCCTAGTTTCCCTTCTCGTCTCTTTCCTTTACGTGTTTCTGTTTCTTGGGAGACCCAACACAATTTTGTGTCTCCTTCGACAATCATCTTTTGGCCTCATCTTTTCTGTGGCGGTTTCTTGTGTCTTGGCCAAAACCTTTGTTGTGGTTCTAGCATTCATGGCCACCAAACCTGATTCCAGATTGAGGAAATGGGTGGGGGGAAGAATGGTCACTTTTATTCTTCTATCCTGTTCCCTTGTTCAAATGTGTTTTTGTGCTGTATGGCTGATAATGTCCCCACCATACCCAGATTTTGATGCACACTCAGTGTCTGAATGGAGTGCAATGAAGCCTCGGTTATGTTCTACTGTGTTTTGGGTTTTATGGGTTTTCTTTCTCTTGTTAACTTCTCTGCTGCTTTTCTAGCTAGGAAGTTACCCGATAGTTTAAACGAAGCCAAATTCATCACCTTCAGCATGTTGGTCTTCTGCAGTGTTTGGCTGTGCTTCATTCCAACCTATCTAAGCACAAGGGGAAAATATACCATGGCTGTGGAGATCTTCTCCATGATCTCCTCCAGTGCTGGCTTACTGGTACCTATCTTCCTTCCCAAATGTTTTATCATTGTGATGAGACCCGAACTGAATGATAAGCATCAACTCATGAAGAGAAAGTTTTAACAAATCTTTCTATTTGCTTGATAACCCTTATATGAAGATGTTAGCAATCCTCCTTACCTTTAAGCACATTAAGGCCAAAAAGCAATGTACAATTAGATTTGTCCTTCTGTGTTGCATTGTTCCCTGAGATTCAAATGGCTCAGAACCTTTTTTATTTTTGGAAAGGATCCTAAAGATGCTTTATCATGAGGCAACTGGACTTTCTAGTTTTTCTTTGAAGACGTTTCACTTCTCATCCAAAAAGCTTCTTCAGCTCTGACTGGATGGTGGGGAATGGAAGGACTTATACTGCTTGCAGACAGCTGGTATAAATCCATCCATTCCCCACAATCCAGTCAGAGCTGAAGAAGCTTCTTGGATGAGAAGTGAACCTTCTTCAAAGAAAAACAAGAAATTCCAGTTGCCTGGTGAAAATGTATCTTTGTGATAACTATGACCTGGATGGCTGAGAATCTCCATAGACTTTTGGAAAGGAATTATAAATGTATAATTATAATAACACATTTATAATTTATACAATAATTATAATACATTTATAATTTATACAAAAATGTATAAATAAATAATATCACAAATTGATGTATGAATATATTTCAATATGTGATTGAGAACTCTAACTAAATATATAGATTAAATGTCACTTATAAATTTGTTTTGACTGGTCATCTTAATTCATATGCAGGTTAGAATGTGTAAAAAGAAATGGGGATTAAATACAAATGAGCCTTTCATTTAAACAGAGAAGGCTTGTGACTTGTTTCTGAAGGAATCGGACACTGGGAATTCTTTGGTGCACATCATGTGTAGTGGTCACCTACAAAACCTGGGGGTAAATTCAAAAGGTCTTCCAGTTGGTCATATATCTTCTCCTCAGTAGCAAAAAACAATGAAATCTCTAGCAGAAAAATAATTCTAGTAAATCCAAGTAAATTCCATCAGAAGTCCAGTATATGGTAATATCTAAATTACATCATGGTCTCTTTCTAGGAAATTCTATCGAGTATGATGACTCTGTAGAACAGCACATGCCATGGTCATAAGTCTGTTTGAGTACAAAGAGTGTCACAGCACTTGAATGAAAGGCACACGGTGATTCTAAGTATCAGTTGATGAGATCTCTGAGTGAGCCCTGTTTGGAATTTGCTGAACATTTGGGACCAGGTTATTTGAAAAAACTTTTCAATGGAAAAAGGAATTATGTTTGGAAGAGCTAGTGCTAAAAGGAAACCAGGCCACCAGTTAAAACAGTGGCTGGACGGCATCAAATCTGACACCAGCCAGAGTATACAAAAAACGTCTTCAAAGAAAAATAAGAAAGTCCAGTTGCCTCTTTTAAAAACACCTTTGGACAACCACATCTGTAGTTGCAAACTCTAACAAACAATATTCTTAGGGGGATTGACTTTAGGTCTAAAAGTGAGATGTAGTAACAGATTAACAAACTTAAATATTTATAAACTTATGTGAACATTGCAAATTGAATTCTATAAAATGATAACCGCATCTCTTAGAATATGCTTCTATTGATGAAATTGACAAAATCTCCCAAAACTTTCTTGGTGACACACAATGATTTTTCCAAGCTGCTTTCTTTATTATTTTACATCTATAGGCAAAATCTATCATTGGTATCAATAATATACTCTGTGAACTATGAGGAAGGGGCTACATTCCCTTATAGATAATATATTCAAATTTATAAAACAATAATAGGATAAAACATAATGTAACTGGAAAATGTTTATGTGTGTGTGTTTATGTGTGTGTGTATGTGTGTATACATACATAAACATAAACCTTTTAAACTACATTTTGATTTATCTTGTAATTCTCTTGCTTCCAGTCAGTTGGATAGTCAGTTGGATAGTAAGTGCAATAATACAAATCAAATCTTAGCATGGCTGCAGCAAATATAATACATAAGAAATACTAGGATGCATATGGCTATAAAAGTTTAATATTATTCTTACTTATGAAGAATAATATTAAACTTTTATAGCCATATGCATCCTAGTATTTCTTATGTATTTTATCAGAAGTCATCCGGCTTGTATGCCTTTAGTAATTAAACTAATTGCTAATTAATTATTTTTGCTGGGTTTTTTTTATTTTTCTATTATTCTATGTTCATTTTTTTTCAGTAACCTAATATTTTACCTCTGCCTTTCTATTAGAATAATTGTTTTGTTATTTGTTTCATATTGGCCTACAACTAAAATTTTAAAAATTTTAAAATGTTATACGGTACATAAATCTTTTAAATAACATTTTGTTTTATCTTGTTATTACCTTGCTTCTAGGCTGTTGGATTGTAACTGCAATAATTCAAATCTAACTTTAGCATGGCTGCAGCAAATATAAAGCTCTTTATAAGATTAGAATTAATTTTTATAGCCATACACATCCTAGTATTTTTATATATTTATTAGTACTCATCTGGCTTATGAGCCATAAGCAATTAAACTACAATAATTTTAAATAAATATTGCTGGGGGGTTTTTTACAATTATATGTTAATTTTATTTTAGTAATCTGATATTTTGCCTTTACCTCTATGTTGGAATGGTGGCTATGTTATCTGTTTGATACTGGCCTACAACTAAAGTTTTTTTTTTAAGTGTTTATATTTTCCTTGTTTCAAGAAACATCCTTATGTATGTTTTGAATATATACAGTTTTTCTCTTTCCTCTGCCCTTTTCTCTCCTTGTCCCTCTCTGGCTGTCTCTGTATTTCAGGTTCATTCTTTTCTGAGAAGAGTCAGATTCAACAACAGTGTTGGTGAGAAGATCTCCTTTGATGAAAATGGAGAACTCATTGGTGGATATAATATTATCAACTGGATCTCATTCCCAAACCAATCCTTTATTAGGGTCAAAGTTGGGATGGTAGATCCCACAGCTCCAGATTTCTTCAATATTTCTGTAGATTCCATCACGTGGCCAGTAGGCTTTAATCAGGTTAGCTCTTTCAATGTAGATTGGTCTTCCTTCCTTTGTATTTTTAGCATAAAAATATGTTTATTGTTGAAAAAGAATCAGCTCTGAACTAGCCTAAGTACAAATGTTTTATGGAAGGAAAAAAAATCTGTAAGAATGATTACTTTTGTAATACAGGTAATCATTGAGTTATGAGTGTAATGGAGCCTGCCCATTCCACTCATAACTCAAAAACTCATGGAAGTGAATCTCGTTTCTCGAACGAGATCACTCCCTTGCTCATTAAAATGCACACAGATCATTAAGTGAACATGAGATATCCTGCAATCTCAGATCCAGGTTTGACCGGTCTGGAGAAGGTGTCCGGTTCCCGGATCAGGCCACCAGAGGGCTGCAGAAGCATTCCCCAGCCTCAGAACCAGACAGCAGCGGCCTGGAGAGGTCATCCAACACCTGGACTGGGCCACTGGAGGGCTGTGGAAGCATCCCTGATCTCAGATCTGGGTGGCAGCAGCATGGAGAAGGTGTCTGGTGCCTGGATCGGGCCATCAGAGGGCTTCAGAAGCTTCCCCTGGCCTCAGATCCAGGCAGCAGTGGCCTGGAAAAGGCCTCCAGTGCCTGGATTGAGCCACCAGTGGGCTTTGCTTCCATTCTCTGTTGCAGTGAACAGAGGCCTAAAATACCATGAGATCATGCTAGATCAGTAGTGTGAGATCTCACCCCACAGATCTTGTGTGATCTTGCATTACTTTAGGCCTCCATTCTCTATGAATGCACCAAAGACCTGGAACGGCCAAGAAAGTGAGGGATTTCGATTTTTGCAGGGTGAGTATTGATGAATTGGTGCCTAGGGAGACTTGGAGCAAAGGTGGGGAGGGAGGAAATAACCAGGGTAAATGTTGCAGTGCCATTGCTCATAAGGGCACACAATTGCCGTGGTGCTGCAATATTCATAATTTTGGGACTTGCTGGTTAACACTAGGGGGCGCTTATTGCGTACCTTCAAAGAAGCATTAAGTGAACGTTCATAACTTCGGGATTACCTGTAGTTGATCTAAAATATTGTACCCTTTACCTTGGTCCTCTGTTAATTAAGGACAATATGTTTGGGGTTTTAAAGTAAAAGCTACAATCCAGTGTACTAGATTTCATGAGTCTGGTGACTTCAAAATTCAGAAGCTGAGAAAACAATTGATATCTAACCAGAACAAAAATTCTTTTTGGAGAGTGGTGATGATGATAATAGAAGTCCATAAATACCAATAAGGGTAGATATTTAATGAATTGTAATTTCAGACCAATTACTTCTAAAATGATGTCATTGCTTTACTTCTGTACTGAATTACTTAGTACATAAACCCATTTTTATGCTAGTGATTCCACTGTAACAGTAGCTCTCCAAGCAATTCTTTCCCCCTCTGTATCTTAAAATAATCTTCTTCATTCATTGGTAGGCATTACCTCTATCTTTGTGTAATGGTCCTTGTGAGACAGGATACAGCAAGGAAAAGATAGAAGGGGAGTCTTTTTGCTGCTATGCTTGCCATCTGTGTCCAGAGGGGAAAATATCAAAAACGAAGGGTAGGAAATTTCCAAATATAATGGGACTAAACCAGGAGGGTACAACACTGTGAATAATCCACTGTATCAATTCCACTGTGTTCTTTTTCAGATGTAGATGACTGTTCTCCATGTCCAGAAGATCAATATGCAAATACTGACAAAAATATGTGCATTCCAAAGCGGATCACCTTTTTGTCCTATGAAGAACCCTTGGGGATCAGTCTGACCGTTCTTTCTCTTTGCTTTTCTTTAATGACAACTTTGGTAATCACAATCTTCATGAAACACAAAGACACTCCCATTGTCAAAGCCAACAACCGGAATCTCACCTACATCCTCCTAGTTTCCCTCCTCCTCTCTTTCCTTTGCATGTTTCTGTTTCTTGGGAGACCTAACACAATTGCGTGTCTCCTCCGACAACCAGCTTTTGGCCTCATCTTTTCTGTGGCAGTTTCTTGTGTCTTGGCCAAAACCTTTGTTTTGGTTCTAGCATTCATGGCCACCAAACCTGGTTCCAGATTAAGGAAATGGGTGGGGGGAAGAATGGTCACTTTTATTCTTCTATCCTGCTCCCTTGTTCAAATGTGTATTTGTGCTGTGTGGCTAATAATGTCCCCACCATACCTGGATTTTGATGCCCATTCAGTGTCTGAAGAAGTCATCATGGAGTGCAATGAAGACTCAGTCATGTTCTACTGTGTTTTGGGCTTTATGGGGTTTCTTGCTCTTGTTAGCTTCTCTGCTGCTTTTCTAGCTAGGAAGTTACCCGATAGTTTCAATGAAGCCAAATTCATCACTTTCAGCATGTTGGTCTTCTGCAGTGTTTGGCTGTGCTTTATTCCAACCTATCTAAGCACAAGGGGAAAATATACCGTGGCTGTGGAGATCTTCTCCATGATCTCCTCCAGTGCTGGCTTATTGATGTGCATCTTCCTTCCCAAATGTTTTATCATTGTGATGAGACCCAAACTGAATGATAAACATCAGCTCATGAAAAGAAAGTTTCAACAACTCTTTCCATTTTCCTGATATATCCTTTATATGTAGATGTTAGAGATCTTGAACACTGGCAAATTTAAAACAGAGAACCATTGCCGTAAGATTGGCCTTTATATTGCCCTGTCCCTTGAGATTTATATAGCTCAGAACATTGTTTCCTTCTGGAAATTGGGACCATAAAAGTATACAGATAAACAAATATCCCAAAGGTGCTTTTTCACAAAACAACCTGAATACTTTGCACTACTCAGGTGACCCTGATGACACAGATAAACCTCCAGGTGGCCTCAATGACTGTCTAAAAGAATGCAAATGGCCAGCTGTCTGCAAGGAGTATAAATCCTTCTGTTCCCCACCATCTAGTCAGAGCCGAAGAAGCATCTTGCATGAAAAAGAATCTTTGGGGTAACTATTCTATGGCCTGCTTGACCGAGATAGACAGATAAACACAAAATAGTACAAATTGATTTATATACATATTTTTTGTGTGATGAAAGCTCTGACTAAATATATAGATTAAATATGAATTGTCAATTGGTCTTGAGTGGTCATTTTAATTCATATACAGACTAGAATGTGAAAAAGAAGTGGACTTAACTACAAATGACTTTTTCATTTAAAAAGTTAGGGCTTGTGAATTGTTTCTGAAGCAAGCAAACATTGTCAGTTTTCTAGATCACATAATGTGTAGGAAATTACCTAAGAGAAATGGGCTAAATTGAAAAGAACATCCAGCTGGATATATATACCTTCTCCTCAGTAGCAAAGGCCAATGAAATTTCTGGCACAAAAATAATCCAAATAAATTCCATCAAAAGTCCAATACATGCTAATATCCAATTTTATATAATGGTCTTTTTCTAGGAAATTCAATCAAGTATGATGACTGTGTAGAACAGCACATTCCATGGTCATAAGCCAAACAGAATACCTAGCACTTGAATGAGAGGCACACAATGATTCTAAATGCCAGCTGATGAGATCATTCTGGATATTTTCTTATCAGAGCAATAGTAATGTCATCTGCTGTGGGGATCTGTCATTATCCCCTGTCATGGCAAGACCACCTGGTGGCTGTGAGAATTTCCAACGCTCACCCCTTCTGGTGAGCATTGGTAGGACCTATATAAATAGTTCATCCTTGGCAACAGATGGATCTACTTGGGTTTAAGAAGGAGCTGGAAGATATCCTAGGGATTCTGCTCCATGGCCTTGTGGAGGTTTTTGTCACAAATGGACAACCCCATGTGGAGGGTTTTTTCACAAATAGAATCAGAAAGCAGGCAAGACCCTGGACAGGCCATGCCTATATAACCTCTGGTCCATCAGTCCTGAAACTCCCCTTGGTGTACACAGGAGATGAGGGTGCTGAAAAGGGCCAAAGGATGATACAATGTCACTGGAGGAAAAACTAAGAATGATGTGACATGGTTGCACTGGGTGAGATCATCCAACACCTTGGGATGAGATATCATCAGCTTCTTCAGTTCTAACCAGGTAGTTTTTAATGTTTTTTAATAATATAATAATTATGAAAGGCTGTGGGTCAATATATAAAGAGATTTGAAAAATTGGGAGACGTTGCAATTATCTCTTTTGGGAAGAATTGCGGCGATTAAAATGAATGTTCTGCCAAAGTTTCTTTTTTTATTTCAAATGATACCTATTTTAAAGAATGAGGTTAATTTAGATGAATGGCAGAAAGGTATTAACAAATTTATCTGGGCAGGGAAAAAACCAAGAGTAAAACTTAAAATTATACAAGATATTCGCGAGAGAGGTAGACTCAAGGTACCGAATTTGAAATTGTATTATGATGCTATGGTTTTAACATTAATAAGTGATTGGGTTAATCTAACAAATGTAGAAATACTCCTCTTGGAGGGCTGGGATCTACTTTTTGGATGGCATGCCAATTTAATTTTTAATAAAAAGGTCGATAGGGTTTTTAAATCTCATATTATAAAGATATCTCTACTTCGAGTTTGGAGGAAATATTATAGAAGTGACTTTAAAATTCCACTATGGGCTATTCCATGGCATGCGATAGAAGGGATAAGGAGAGGAGTTAGGATGGATAGCGTTTCTTATGCAGAATTACTTAGATGGGATGGTAAAAATTGGCAGTTAAAATCTTTGGAAGATTTAATACAAGAAAATATTATTTATTCATGGTTTCAGTATAGACAAATAGTGGATAGGTGGAAGATAGATCATAATGTGGGTTTGCTTAGAGAAGATGAGAATTTGTTAAAACAAATAAAAGATCAAAGACGAACCCATATTAAGAGAATTTATGGGGTGTTAGTAGAACTGGATTCAGAAGCAGAATTAGTTAAAGAATGTATGATTAAATGGGCACAAAATTTTGATGAACCGGTTCTATTAGATACTTGGGAAATTATTTGGGTGAGGAATGTTAAATTTACACAAGCTCAAAATTTAAGGGAGAATTTTTATAAAATGTTTTATAGATGGCACCTTGATCCACAAAAAGTGTCTCGTATGTATCCTGACTTACAGCCTAAATGTTGGAGATGTGGATGTTTGGAGGCTACTTACTATCATATCTGGTGGTCATGTAAAAATATAAAAGCTTTTTGGATTAAGATATGGTGGAATATTCAAAGAATTTTTAGAAGAAGGGTAAAATTTACCCCACAATTGTTTTTGTTAGGTATTGTTTCTGATTGTGATAGTAAAGAGACTATATTGATGTTAAATTTAATTACAGCGGCAAGATTGTTAGTAGGGCAATGTTGGAAGAAGGAATCTTTGCCTAAGTTGCAAGAGTGGTTTTTTAAAGTTTCTTATTTGGCGGAAATGGCAAAGATTTCGGCTTTCTTGAAAGATCAATCGCAAGAGAAGTATTTTTTGGTATGGAAAAAATGGATAGATTTTATACAATATAAATTAGATATAAAAAAATATTATTTAGCTTTTCAATAACTTATAATTAAAATTTAAAATATTTTATTGACCTTATTTTTTATTTTATTTTTTTTCTATTTCTTTCTTTTCTCTTTCTTTTTATTTTTTAGTATTTTTCTGTATTTTTTATATATATATACATACTATTGTTAATTATCTTACAATTTGTTTAATTAATGTATTTAGATTTATTTATAGTTTATATCTGTTTTAAGACTTTTTGAAAAAATTTCAATTAAGCCTATATTCAGCTCTGGGAAGGTCGGGGGAGGGTATGGGAGGGTTGGGGGGGGTTGGGGAAGGGTTGTATTGTTTTGTAAAATTTAAAAAGTTTCAATAATAATAATAATAATATCTGTTTCATCAGTTCCATCCAGCTGGTCTTCATTTTGCTGACATTGCATTAAACAATGATGCAGTATTTTTACGATACATATCTTATGAATATGTGTAATTCCAGTATGCCCAGGAAAAGTCCATTCTAAAAGAAGAAATATCATAGATTGCACTGATGGTTTCAACTAATGAAAATACTAATTTTAATATAATCATTGGATTCATCATTGGGTATCTGACAGAACTGACAATGACAGGGCTTCATCATCATATTGCAATCACCTCCGTTAATATTATGCATCTTAGTTCTAAGTGACCCCAACTGGCTAATTCAGGAAACAGTTTTATATCAAATTGTTGTCTTACTCTCACATAGCCACTTTATCAAGTGCTTCTTTGGAGTCTGAGGCTGCCATATTATTCTCAAATGCAGGAACTTGTTTAAACTGTTGAAGTTCACAATCACCTGCAGACACTACTTTTAACAGTGCCCACTCAGAATGACAAACTTTGCACAAATCTGAACATGTGCTGAACATGCCTGTCTCAATCTTGCCTGGGCAGAATACATGCATGCACAGCATCACATTTCTGATATGTCTGTACCCATTCTCTGGATGTTCATGTCAAAATCATGCCTTGAATGGTACCCTTTTAGATTAATTAAAGAGCCATTTTAAAAATATCATCCTTTTGTGATGCCTTCCCATTGATGCATGGAATAGCCCAAAGCACACATTCTGATATAGAGACGTTTCCTGAGGATGGGATCTAGCATCAGTCCAAAAGCTCGGAAGACTAAACCTCTGATCCTGGTGACCGACCCAGGTTGGATCTTGCAATGTTATCCTGGGACATATATATTTCCTTCATTTGTGAGAAATTATTTGGTTTGAAAATTATAGATCTTCCAGAAAAGATGGAAAGGAATATAAATATAAGAAATTCTGAGATAATGGAATTGAAGAAGGATGGACTGGATTTTCTTGGCAAGAGGAATGTTGTGATTTTAAGGAGAATTTTTCAACAATGGATACTGCAGAGATATTTACAACAAAGACTTATGAACTCCAGACATGAGATGCAATAATTCCCAATTAAGAACCTAAGGAAAGATTTCCCTATGAAGAACCAAAAGAGAGAATTTTATCCTGGCCAGATCAAATTTGTAGATAAGTAACCATTGTAGACTTTCTTTATCGATTTATAAGATAAAATACAAAACTACAAAAGAAAATAATAGGAAAATAGAGGAAGGAGAAGAGAAAGGAAAAGTGTAGGACAGTAATGGCGAACATTTTAGAGACTGAGTGCCCAAACTGCAACCCAAAACCCACTTATGTATCATCAGGTGCCGAGTGGGCGTGGGGTGGGCATGGCCAATTGGGTGGGCATGGCCCATTGGATGGGTGTGACTGCAGTGGTAATGGCAGACTGGGTGGGACCAAAAAGTTCAATCAATTCCAACTTTGGGAGATCTTTTTTTTTCCTGCAAGAAGTTGAAATTGATTGATTGATTGATTGAATGAATGAACCTCTTTTTTTTGCATACAATAGTGGAGGCCTAAAGCGAAAAGGTTTTATAAAACCCAGCTGAAGGCCTAGCCATCAGGCTAGAAACCAAGACTGTTTAGTTCTAGTTCTGCCTTTTGAATGAAAGCTGACTGGGTGATTTAGGCCAGTCACTCTCTCTCAGCCCAACCCAGCACACAGGTTGTTGTTATAGAGCAGTGATGGCGAACCTTTTAGACACTGAGTGCCCA